AATTCCCTGAGAAAGTAAGATAAAGAGAAGATGGAGGGTTTTAGTTCTGGGTTCAGCCAACAACCTTGTGTGCCCAGGTGATCACAAAATCTGCAAAAGAGAAATAAAAAATAGAGAATACCAAAGTGAACTTCCTCCATAAGAGGGATGAGGAAAGACAAGGGAAAACTCCACCACACAGTATAATCTACTCAGACAGAGTCCTTCCCAAAGTCATGTAAATCAAGGCATAAAACCCTTAAGATCTGGGTTGGGAATTGGGAGTTGCTTCTCCAGCAGTACAGTTGGCTTGCATGGGAACCTTTTCCCCCTTGACTGGGATGCCAACCAAGGTTACTTCCCTGGGATCGAAAGCCCTTCCCTGGAGGGATAAGCAAGTATCTTGCATGCTATAAGATTAGCTAACACATAAAATATTTAGCACACTTCATAGGTTGTAACAGTGTGTTCTGTGCATCTTCATGGCTTGTAATAATGTGTTCTTCCTTAGAAGGTGAAAACCTGCAACAGTGGGATATTAAATCTGAGAATGCAGGTCAAAAAAATTGTTTGCTCGAGCTGAGAGTTAAACCTGCAAGCGAAATTCAAAGACATTTTTTGCTTGAACCTTGTAGTCAGTTCTCTTTTTGCCACACTTTCACGCTGGAACAAAACTGTATCTGTTCCTGAAAGTGATAATTTGATCCCAGAAAAAGAGCTTCATCCTGCAAGGAGCTGGGATATATTAGCTTCCAATACTTTTGAACTTCTCTCACTGGAGCTAGCTTAAATCCCTCTTCCATATTTGGTTCAATAAAAAATTAGTTGTCAGTGTTTAGCACTATTAAAAAAAAATGATTTCAGGAAAGACATGTGTGTTCCTGGTAGAATTGTAAGCTCTTTGTGAACAATTTTTACGTATTTTCCAGCAAAGTTAGACTGCTTTGTCCCAGATTCTAATGCTACCCTGGGGGGATTAAGCTGTTCAGAGGATGTGTCACATTCTGCACAGATCCCAGGGAAAACACACTTACTCATCCTGGCTGCAAATTTTTAGGTGAGAGGTTGAGCTGCTGCTCCATGCGGTCCACAAGCCAGCAGAACTACACAGTTTTGTGAAGAGACAGAACATTGGACCATCTCAGGGCTGCAACAAATCTTTTCCTGTACTGGGACAAGGGGTGCCACAGTTCTTCAATTCGTGCTTCTCCAGGAAGATAGAACATTCACACTGACAGATCAGCATGCAGCCCAAACTCCTCCAATGGCTGTATTTACTAAATTACTTTGTGATATAGTGACATAATACTTTCAGAGGTTTCAATCTGCCAATTTTTAAATCAACAATTAACCACAAGCTGGTATGAAACAGACACCAAAAGAACCGAATAGCAAGATTCCCTGCTGTTATAATAAGCACCCATAAAATAATTTGCAAACTTCTACTTTCAAATTTAACAGAATGCTTGAGCATATGCCAATTTAAGAGTATGTAAGAAATCCCTTCGGCTTACATCTGTGAAGACTAGTGAGGAAAAGAACACTGCTGGCTTATGAAAATATTGAAGAAAAGAACATTTTCTGGACGTGTGTTTTTACTAAAAATGTGAGCTCATTATGAATACTTCAACTGAAACTTTCTGAATCCTCTAATACAGTGGCCAAAGAAAGCTTTTGCAAATGTGAATCTGAATCAATTTAGACACAGAATCAGAAGATTTGAAAACTGATTGAAAAGCTATAGAACACTGTAAAACCCAGCAGGTGTTAAAGGGCAGGTGGTGTGTTCTGCTAGGCCACCTCTTACCTGCTTCTCACACCTGGGCGTTGTTTTAACCTTCTACATTTCCGTTTGTTCCTGATGTACGTTTATGTATTTTGGGGCAGGTGGATGGGACCATTCCTTGAATCGTGAGAAATCAAGCCTGCTCCAGGTGATCCCAGACACCAAGGGCTCTTGTGCTTTTGACACTTTCATGTACCTGTCTGAGACAAGGGTATTCTGCCCACTTACTAGGAACTGATTTAAAAGGAGGGTCACTCAGACTGGCTTTTACAACCTTTCCATACAAACACTGAAGGGCAAGGCAGCAGCAGATATCCCTTCAGCATCACCAGACCATAGAATCACAGAATCCCAGAATGTGTTGGGTTGGAAGGGATCTATCAAGGCTACCTAGTCCAACCCCCCAACAATAAGCAGGGATATCTCCAACTAGACCAGATTGCTCAGAGCTCCATCAAGCCTGATCCTGAATGTCTCCAGGGACGGGGCCTCCACCACCTCTCTGGGCAACCTGTTCCGGTGATCTGCGACCCTCATATTAAATAACTTTTTCCCAATGTCCAACCTAAATCTGCCCTTCTCTTAGCTTTAGACTATCACCCCTTGTCCTATCATAACATGCCTTTGTGAGCAGCTCTTACCCAGCTTTTTTATAAGTTCATTTCAGGCATTGAAAAGTCACTATAAGGTCCACTGGAATCTTCTTCAGGCTGAACAACCCCAACTCGCTCACCCTGTCTTCATAAGAGAGGTGCTCCAGTCTTCTGATCATCTTCATGGCTTTCCTCTGGACACACTCCAGCAGCTCCATGTTCTTTGTGCTGGGGGCTCCAGACCTGGACACAGTATTCCAGGTGAGGTTTCACCAGGGCAGAGTACAGGGGCAGAATCACCTCTCTCAATCAGCTGGCCACACTTCTTTTGATGTAGCCCAGGATGTGGTTGACCCTCTGGGCTGCAATTGCACATTGGTGGTTCATGTCCAGCTTTTGGTCCACTAGTATTCCCAGGTCTTTTTCCACAGGGCTGCTCTCTAGCATGTCTTTCCCCAGCCTGTATTCCTATCTTTGGTTGCCCCAGATCAGGTGCAGGACCATGCACTTGGCCTTGTTGAACCTCATGAGGTTCCCCTAGGCCCACTTCTCCAGCTTGTCCAGGTCCCTCTGGATGGCATCCCATCCCTCTGGCACACACCCAGCTTGGTGTCATTTGCAAACTCACTGAGGGTGCTCTCAATGCCACTGTCAATATCATTAATGAAGACATTAAACAACACTGGTCCCAGAATGGACCCCTGAGGGACACCAGTTGTCACCGTTTTCCATCTGTACACCAAGACATTGACCACCACCCTCTGGATGTGACCATTCAGCCAATTCCTTATCCATTGAAGAGTCCACCTCTCAAACCTGTATCTCTTCAACTTAGAGAGAAGGGTGTTGTGGGGGATCATGTCAAAGGTTTTGCAGAAGTCCAGGTAGATGACATCCATAGGTCTTCCCTTGTCCACTGATGCAGTCACTCCATTGTAGAAAGCCACTAGGTTGGTCAGGCAGGATTTGCTCCTCGTAAAGCCAGGCTGGCTGTCCTGAATCACCTCCCTGACCTCTGAGGGCAGCCACAGCACTAATCCTATCTCCCTGTTAGTGGCATTTCCATCACTTCTCCTCCACCCAGCATGTTTCACTCCCTATCAACACTTTACTGTACATTTACAAGGAGTGGGTGGGTCAAGTAACTGGGTCTTTCCCCACAGTACAGACTAGGAAGCATTCAGCAGTTTAGCACAAATGGATAATTCAATAGTTTATTTTAAACAGATGAAATCCAATCTGCAATAATTACAGTTTCTGTATTTTGAGTACTATGATAGATAACACAAAAAGATGTAAACATTTTAAAATGCAAGAATAATACAAAATTACTTCTGTTTTAATACACAGCCACTGTTGGCAACTGACAGCATTTAAAAAGCAACACTAGGAAACAGATCAGATGAAGTGCTCGTTTATATAGCACTGTACAAATGCCACTGCGCTGCAGGCTTTTCCACATTGTAAGACTGGAAAAAGACCAATTCCATATAGTCAAACCTATGAAAGAATAACTCATCTACAGCAATTGAAAAGTAGCTTTGTAAACCAGTTTCCAGACAAAATGTAAATTATTTGATTTCTTGCTGAGCATATTACTCTGATGTTTCTAATATCTGTGTTGGTTTTTTTGCATTATGTATGAGAAAAGTATATTCTGTTGAAGTGTCCACTTCCATTTAAACACTGGCACCATTAAATTAGAGCTATGTTTGCAATCACACGTGAGAAAAAAACCTTACAAACAAAACAAAACAAAAGTTGTCATTATTGTAGGGCAATATCCTGCTTTGAAAAATTAGGTGAAAAATACAAATATGGCAATATAAACTTAAAAAAAGTTTTCATAAAGTGCATAAAGTTTCAATGTACCAGTTCCTTTAGGAAAAAAAATAGCAAACATCTATCCAAAGCAAGTGTTAAACTACAGTTCTGTAACCTTTGAGTTTAGGAGCCAGTGTTGTGACATTTGATACTCATTTTCCAGGTAACGCAATACTACTCACTTAAAAACAGCTATTACAGGGCAACAATCATATATACATATATATTTGTAATTCAAGAAGGTCATTGAAAATACATTTCTGTTGATAAAATCACTCCAAGGGCAGCTACACACAATCTGCAAGAACTGCTGAAGAATGAGATGAAAAATTAGACTTAAATCTTTTAGAGAGCAGTTTAATTTCTGAAAATAGAAATTAATTAAAAATTATAAAAAGAATTGAAGAAGCTGAAATCAAATCCAGCCTTCTGATTATATCCCTAAGAAAAATTGTGCTGTTTATTTTCTAACCATTTGAGTTGACACAGAAAAGTTCTTTAGGAATGCTTTACTGATGAAACAAAGAGGCCCAGCCATTGTAGTAAAGAATTAAATACAATTATATCATAAAAAGACTGGCTTGAAACTTCAAAAATAACTTGCAATAATGATAAAGTGTGTAAGTAATTACTAGGACAGACATTCAAAAAACTAAGCAATTACGAAATTTTCAAATTCATTAGAGGCCTATTAACCTAAACTGTCTGGAGAAGTTCTTGACATATGGATTCCCATGACTATATATATTTAATTCTCAGTTTTTCATCCAGAAACAAATACCAACGATGTAAAATAAACAGAGTAAAATTCGCAAAGCTCAGAGATCCTCAAGCAGGTTAATGCCCTCCTGGGAACCTGAATAGAGGAAAACAGAAAAAGTTTAGATCACAAAAGAAAGCAAAAGACAACTTAGAACTCTATGGTTAACGTGCAGACAGAAGTTGGTTTGTTTCCACATTTGTATTTTCATTCTGTTTACAAAGTTTGCATTTAGAGCATTCAAGTTAAATATTTGCATCTTTATACTGAGCAAGAAAGAATTATCTCCTTGAAAAATCTATAGTACTATTCTCAGCTTTATCCTTCCTCTTAAGACTGAATTCTTAAATTTAAGGTACTCATCTATTGCAATCAGTTGTGATGCTGGAGGAAGGAACTTAAGACTGCAGAAGTGTATTCATACCTTCTTAACCCGCTGAGACCAGGTGGCCAAATGACATTCTTGGTTCTACAAGAAAGTAAGAGACAGAATCTTAAGAAGCCATTCTTTAGCATTTTTAAATGGTCAACCATGCAGTAAATTATATTAACCTAACCTGGAACAATCCTGCAGCAACTAAAAATGTACAGGATAACAGCAATAATATTATGCTAACATCTGTTTTTTGGAGTATGTCTCAAGTATTTGAGTACCAACAACCTACTAATGACTCCAGTCTGAAAGTTATTTCTGATAGTAGATTTGATTAGAAAACAATTTTACTCCATAGTAAAAGAAGTTGTTTTTCCCAGTGAAAACCCAAGTACTTTCACCACATAAAATCTCCATGAATATACATTCAAATTTAAGTTAAACCTGTTTCTTCATAAAATCAGCTCAAGTTACTGTATTTCTACGATATCTTAAAAGGTCTTATTTTAGCCTAATATTTCATATCAAGAAAGCACATGTGAAAGATGGTTTTGTTGAAACATATGTACCATAGCTTTCTAATTAGAAGAGAAATTCCTAAATGTTGGCTTGGGGAAACCCACCTTCTAGAATAAACAGTCCATAAGGTCTCTAACCCTTATATACGAAACTTCTGAGAATTTTTATAGAACTTCAGTTGTGTGGATTGCCTGCCTTCAACCTGTGTTCATACAATAACCTGAGAGCAACGGCAGCAATTACTTTCACGTAAAATGATACTGTTTCTACTATAGGCAATACATTTGTAGCTTCTCATTTGTGAAATGAAATTTGGCAACAAAAACCAAAGGTCATTATCATACAACAACACAGGAGCAAAGCAAGAGGAAGAGTTGTACAGAACAGTCGAAAAAGCTTGGGAATTTCATTGCTGCTCTTTTGATTATGTATATGCTAGCATCAGTGTTTGTAATGATACAAAACCTTATTTTAAATAATTTTTCTGTACTACTATAGTCTCCTTTGAAAGTTCTGCTCTTCAGATTGATCTTAGAAGCCAAACTTTCCTTTCACTCTAGTTTTTGACCTTGAAAAATCATAGGATGACTTTAATGAATAAAAAACTAAGCATTGAGACTTTTTTTTTTTTTTTAATTTGAAAGCAAATATAAAATAGGTAAATAGATTTTCTTCAAACTGAGTAACTGTTGAAGTCTAACTCTTGGGAAGGTTTTGAGATCCAGATTGAGACCACCTATATTTAGCTGTCTACATACGTATTAAATGTCAAAACTCCTACTAAATTGGATGGAAATCTAGTAGACATACCCAATAGACTTTACAGAGCTCACTCAGCAGCAAATATCTGCCCCCACCCCACAGGCTGGACACCTCAGCAGCTCTGAAGGTTCCAGTGGCCCAATCTGCATGGCCTTGGAACAGAACAATGTACCCAGCATAGTTCAGACCCCTAAATATGGGGACAGGAGGGGGCATCTCAAACTCATGCTAATATCTAGCTACTCTTCTTATGCCAAAGAAACCCCTGAGTCCTTTCCCAGAGAGTGGGGGATTGCCTACATATAGGTAAAATTAAAATGAATGAGAATGATTCAGTATGAGGATCAAATGTTCAGCTTCTTAAAATGTTAAATACTTCTCACACATTGCTTTATTAACATGCCCGCTATTTTCATCAGCAGAACAATGAGGAAAATTAGGGTTAGGCTGTGATTTCCTGGACAAGTTGAGAGGTTGAGCAACTTGGCATATGTTAGTTGTAAAAATTGACCCTTTTTGGAGGATAATTCTTAGAAAAGGTTTTTATTGTCATGAATTATAGATCGAAGTCCTTCCTGTTGACTACATCGTTGAATTCCATTGTAAGACCTTCTCACCCATAAATCTTGCTACATAGTAAATTTGAAAACTTACAAGTAATTCTCAAGTGTTCAAATAAAAACATGCACTCTGAGCACGTGTAATAATACATAACAAAGAAATCCAGCACAAAGCTTGTCAGAATAAAAATTGTAGGCATGAATCCAAAGGCAGAATTTATTTTACCTATAGTTGTGAGGTGTTTTTTTTAAACCAATGCCAATGAACCCATACCAATGGGATGCTTACAAATCATATTTTAAACACTTCATAGAAGACTCCATTTCCCCTCCAGGGTTTAAGTGTCACCTACCATGATCAATAGGATCTGGTGGCATTTAACTCATAAGTAAGAAAAAATACATATAAATTTAAGTAACAAAGGATAGTTCTGACCATTCTCAGGGACAGAATTTCTGTCCAACAGTCCTCAGTGAAAGTCATAGACTTTGGACCTACAAATGTTGAGTCACTAAAACAGATCCCCTCTGATGAAGGACCAAGCTTGGACTTCCTGGCCTAAAACAGGAGAGATTAAATGCTAGACCCAGGATCAGGACATGCTGGATACTGAAGTATGAAGGCCCTGTATGTAACATTTCCATCCTGTCCTGGTTTGAGCCAGGATGAAGCCAATTTTCCTTTTACTGATTTTTTTTTTTCCTTCATTAAGATTTCTTTTAACTAGCAACAGTGTGCTCTAGCTAGAGCTGATAAGACAGTGGAACAGTTTTCTAACTGCTGGGTCTCCAAGGCCGCACTTTCACTCTGCCAACTCAGACACTACAGGGAGATCTACGACCCCCTCATAGGAGGCTGAGTTAGACAGACAGCAGAACTGGCCAGAGATACTCCATTCCATATATCTACGTAAGCTCAGAGGAAGGTCAGAGATCACAGAAGACAACTTCCTTCCTTCTTCTTCTTCCCTTCTCTTCCGTCCATGGCCGGTGTCCGGGGAGGTCTCCGTCCATCCCTCACCGTCGACCCTCAGACTCGAGCTCTCCTGACCCTCATAACTCCTCTTTCTCCAGCAGCAGCTCCAGGATTTCTCGGGACCGTCGATCTGAGGGGAGTGCTCTGGGAGTTGCTGGGGGTCGGGGGGAGGCGAGAGGCTTTTGCCCATACCTGAACATATCTGTATATAATTGTATATATTCTTTTATATCATTCATTAGTGTTTTAATTAAAGCTGTGTAGTTTAGTTTTCAATCCAGCCAAGTCTCTCTCTTTTTCTCTCTCTCCTTCCCTATCTGGGTGGGAGGGGGAGGGGATTGAGAGCATTGTTGTCGGACCTGAGTCAAACGGTGACACATCCGTACAATGGACTTCCTTTACGGAAAGTAGACAACTGGTAGATACTTTCACTGCAAGAAATTTATCCACACAAAGAAAGAAAGGACATAAAGTGCATCTCTGAGACAAAATACACATTTGGCTACTTGTTACCACTTATTCTGAAGCCAAAAGAGAGCTGGAAAGATGCACAGCTCAGATTTTGCTTCTTTATTGCAATGTTTTTCTATTTGTTTTGTATCACATACATTTTTGTGCTGGTGTGTCTGTGTGACCATCATGCTTACATCAATATTTTCTTTTTAATAAATACACATCCATTAATCTCTGAAACAGGTAACTCAGGCTACTCCTTCTTGCATGCTTTACTATTGTTAAGTTGTGGTAGGCATTAAGTCCATAAAACTGGTGGTTTTCATATGCTATTTGTACCCTTAATATTCAAAGCACTATTCAGAGGAAAAACATGTTCTATCTTGCAAGACTACTATGAACAACCACCCAATATATGGGTCAAAGTATCTGGCCATAAACCTAAATGTATTAATCTTGTATGACAGACCATTTTGTCATTGGATTAGATCTTAGCACCACAAAAGCATTTAGGCACCCCATTTCATGTAATGTTATTAAATAATACACACAGCTTCACTTTAATGGTTTATGGTTTTAACTTCAGCTCAGATTCAAATGAAACTTAGCAGAACAAAAAACAGGTTTATTTTAGTCTGAAAGAAAACAAGCCAATCAAAATACAAATTTAAGCCAAATTCCAAGTTCTACAAAGTACAAGATGCCTTTGTATTTAACGTTGCTCGTTTCACAAAAAAAACTACCAACACAAAAAAACACAACCAAAAAAACCCAAACAAAAAACCAAAGCTTTACTTGCTAGTCTATTTGCTTTAAAATTTGTAATGAACATACCCAGAGCTTTCTTTCAGTACTCCAGAACATTCTAAACAGAAAGCTTACTTCTTTTAACTTTCTTTAACTTGGAATAACCTTCTTCCTTCTGTTAACAAAAGCCAAACAAAACCAAAGTAAAACACAGTTAAGCAAAAAAGCAGTAATACTAAACAAGCAGCTGAAATAAAAAGTTGTTTCTGAGTGAAATGTTCAGTTGAATGATATGAGAAGTAACTAGTGAAAGTTTTTATTTTCCAACATAAATACAATATAAAGTATGTTTATATGTTCAGTGGGTAAATAATTAAAACTAGAGCTATTTTTACAATACCCTTTTACATGCTGGCGGCCAACACTTTCAAAACCAACTGATCATTTTTGGTGTCCAGACTTGAGATAACTACAAAATCTTACTCTTCAGGTAAGTTTAGCAGTGTCCCCAGTCAGCACCCTTGTATTATAATTTGGAGAAAGGAGGGATCAGACTAATGAGCATTGGAGAGTCTATCTCTATCCCAGTTAACAGACAAGTCCCTCTCCTATTTCTGAGACTCCAGCTGAGGCCTCACTGGAGCTGTTCACTCACCTCAGTTGGCGCCAGGGGCAGTAATGCCACACTGTCAGCGTGGCAGGCAGACAGTGAGAACCTCCTGTCTCCTGCTACTTTCTACTAGTACCTTGCATGCTACTCACTGCCTGCCAGGAAAGAGAAGAATGCCATGGGGCACTTGTGGCTCTTGACTAGGACAGGACTGTGCCTCTTCCCTATCCCAGCAGTGCTGCCAGATCAGCAGCTTGTCCAGTCTGCGCAAGCTGTAGAGCTAGTTCCATGCTCCCATGCCCCATGTGGCTGAGTCACTCCCAGCAGCTGGCAAAGGACTTCAGCACTTAATTCATACTATGGTGGAAGTCTCCCTTCAGTGCTCAGACCTCTGGGGTAGTTATTCTTATAACCAGTGATTTTTAGTTGCTGTTTTCCTTTTCTTCTTTGTGAGACAGACTGCTAAGTCTACTGCTGTAGCACTGCTGAACTGGGCTGTTAACTAGTGACTCAGTTGCGGCCCTGTGGAAGGGCCCTTCCCAGCTGCAGTTGGATGGGGCCAGCTCAGAGCAGCTGGGCTGGTGCTTCCCACACCAACTCCTCTCTTCTCTGCTGCAGCCTGAGCTCCAGGGTATGAGTGTACTCCTGCAGAAGGCCCCTGCGGCAGCTCTGCTGGCTCGTTCTGAACTGCACAGATAGCACAGACTGTGCTCTTTTAATTACCACTAAAAGTTACAGAATCATCCTGTATTTGGCTTTAAAAGCATAACCAAACAAAAAGATGACAGATAAAATATAATATTAACAAATGTAAACAAAGTGGATGAATCTGAATTATGAAGATATTTTCTGAAGTTCTTAATCAACAGTTAATGGGTAAGTTCACAAGGTAAGTTTATATATTGCAACATGCGACTAGGCTAAGGCACTTCAGAACAAGAACTGGTAATGACACCTCAAATGGTCACACTTGAAATTAACTACAAAAGGCAAGGGAAAAGGGATGAAAAGGGAATTAAGTGTGTACAATTTTTCCTCCTGGCTTATTCTGTAGAGTTATTGCACAGTATTTCCTGTTGGCTATTAGCAGAAATAATACATACATTTCTACGTAAGAAAATACAATTGTACTGTGCATTGGAGACTTGGAATCTGTTCCCTCTAATCTGTCTAATTTCTAGGTAGCAAAAACATAGAGATGTGGTTGTAAGGAGAAGGAGATGGAAAATGGAATAGATTTTTAAAGAACTGATATTTAGAAACAGAAGTGTAGCCCAGTGGTAGCTAAAAGCAGTATTTAAGAATAATGAAAAAATATTTTCTAAGAGGAAAGCACACACTGCAATCATTAGAGCAGCATCCAGAGGAAAAAGTTTTCTTAGAAAGCCATTAATTCGTATGAGGAACATACCTAATTGCTGCTGCTAGCTCCAATTTGTAATACAATAACAACTTAAATACATTAAATAATTAAGAGAATATAACTTTTAAAACCTCAGAATTAATTACAAATAGCCTTCTAGAACTTACTTCTACAGTGTTGCTGACTTCAAGCACTAAGACACTAACAGAGCCAATGAGAATGCCAATAGTTATATTTGGGAAGGATGAAACTGTTTTCTGTAGAATCAGAAACTGCTTCAGAAACTTATTTACATTAAGTAAATGTTTGAATGTTTCCATTTTAGCAGCATCTTTTGCATGTTTGAAGTAACAGCAACATAACCAATGGTTAAAGTGCATTTTATCTTGATTAAGGTTACTTTTATTCAGAGCAGGCTCAATTTCCGGCTTCCCCATTTTAACTGGAACATGCTAAGATGAAAAATTAAATTCTCCTTTTTATCTCTTAATTCAGGTCCCTCTAGACTGGATTCAGGGGTGGATATGTGAGGGTTTTTTTTTTACCTGTCTTTTTCTGGCACAACTTTTCTTTACAGACGCTTCCATGTTGCTCTCCTTTGAACAAGCTGGTTTTGAGGTCAGTGTTTCACTTGTCAGATTCTTGCTCCCTGTAATTGTCTTAAAAATATAGAAGTTTATACCTTCATTAGCAAAAAAAACCACTAGTATTTTTCTACTTGTTAAAATGACCTACTTTTTCAAAAGATGCCAACATAACACGAAGTTGAAATAACATGTAAAATTACATTTCATAGGTGAAACAAGTGATAAGGTCAACACATGCCATCTATGTGCCCAATCCGTGGAATACCATCCTCATAAAAATTGCACTGAAATCAGCCCAGCTATTTATATTATTGAAATACAGATAGAATAATAGAAAATGTAGGCTGTAAAGCACCTCTAGCAGTCATTTAAACATAACTTTTACTCAAAACAGAGCTGACTTCAAAGTCAGATTACACTGCTTTGGGCCTCATCCAGTCAAGTTTTGAGAATCTAAAGGGATAACTCTACAACCTCTCCTTGCAACTTGTTCTACTACTTCACCACTCTTGCTCTGAAGATTTTTTTTTCCTTATGTTCAGTACGATTTTTTTTCCTGTTTCATCTTGTGCTTTTAATGAAATTGTAATTAAACTTGTATTCGCAAAACTTGCATGTTTGTCTTAAAGCACGATGCCTTACGTGCACTGCAGTCAGCACAACACAACTGATGAGGTTTGAGATTCCTTTCAGGAGCTGTTCATTAATATGGTTTCCTATGAAGATAGACTGAACGCTGAAAATTTCACATTAAACTTGTAGAAATCTTGGTAAACTCTCTTAAAGAAAGGAAAACTAATTATCCCACCTTAAAAGTCCCAAACTTAAAAGTGGAGAAAGTCCAGAGGAGGGACACAAAGATGATCAGAGGAGCACCTCTCCTACGAAGACAGGCTGAGAGTTGGGGTTGATCAGCCTGGAGAAGAGAAGGCTCCAGGGAGACCTTACAGCGGTATTCCAGTATCTGAAGGGGCTAAGGAAAGCTGGGGAGGGGCTGTTTACAAGAGCTTGTAGCGAGAGGCCAAGTGGTAATAGATTAAAACTGGAAGAGGGTAGATTCAGGTTGGAAACTCTCTCGCGTAAGGGTGGTGAGACATTGGAAGGTGGAAGTTGCAGAAGCCCTGTCCCTGAAGTGTTCCAGGCCAGGCTGAATGGGGCTCTGAGCAACCTGGTCAAGTAGGAGGTGTCCCTGCCCATGGCAGGGGGGTTGGAGTTAGATGATCTTTAAGGTCCCTTCCAACTCAAACCATTCTATGATTCTATGACAATTGTATTTCAGACAGCACAATAGATCATCTTCCCTTTCAGAAAAAAAGTAGCAGTGGCTGACAACATCAACTTTTATGTAAGAAATTTTAGAAAACTGCATTGGGAATGATGGCAGAACATGATGAAAGTCATGCTCTTTATCGCTTAATGTTGTTTTAGAATATACTGAACTGCTGAGAACCAGTGAGATTGAGCCCTATTATTTACTATACCTGTTCAAAGTTACATTTGGAACGATGACTACTTGTCTTAGCAATATAGTCCTTAGAATGACATGCTGCTTTATTTTCTTCACCCTTGGCAATGCACAATGTATCATTTAAGTGAGATTCATTAATATTTAACCTTGCTCCTTCATTTGATCTCTTTGTTTGTTGCTGTGATAAACCAAAATCTGTCATTTCGTTGTCTAATTTACAGATCTGCAAAGGTACTTGCTTTGACTGGTGTTGTTTCCCAAGAACTTGCGTGATATCTTGACTTGCAAACTTTTTTCCCCTTCTTGCACTAGAAGTAGGAGATGCATATGTATTCAGACTCAGATTGATGTTTGATTTCTGAAGCACTGACCCAACGTTCTTAAGTAAGGAAGGAGAATTTGCCTTTTTATTATTGACTTCACTTACATTCCCACCAGAAGCTGAGTTATCAGAAGAATCAGAATGAGTCATTTGCCCGCTAGACCCTGTTTTCCATTGAAATACAGGTGTTTCATGTTTTGCATATGTTTTTGCATTCATTACCTGAGGTATGCTTCTAGGAGCAGGATTTTTGACTACCATATTTTGAACAGGTTTGTAAACCTGAGTTATGCTGGATTTGCATACAGTCAGCATAGAAGATGAAACACCCATCGTTTTTACTGGTGAATGTCTTGCTGCATTTTCTCTTTTCTTCCCATCCATTTGATTTGTGGCCTTTCCATTCATTTGCATCAACTTTCCTTTGAATATTGGTATGATTTTGCTGAATGTGGGCGGTGGGAGTTCAAAGGCTGACTTTACAGGCATTCCTAAAGATTTCACAGTTGGTAACTCTGTTACTTCTGTTATTTGCCCATTAGTCATTGATTCCTCTGTTGCTTCAGTGCTAACCTTTGCTGTACCCTTACGGCTACTCGAAAAAGTCTGCGTTTCTGGCTCTTTGATCAAACGCTCCATCCAGTGGCTGTTTTCCATACTGCATGGTGAAGAAATTCTAGGCCAAGTCGGCTTCCTTGGAGGAGTCTGCGTTAGAGATACTACACAAACCATCTCGCCGGCCAATTTTGTATACTCAGGCTTTATTTCCTGCAATACAACAAGAGTTGCTAAACTGAATACGGTGGATTTAAATATAGGATAGTGTCACCTAATGCATCACTATATGATACCCATCTAATATGCATCACAATATATAACCATTCATTTTCCTTTATTAAGCAAGAATGAACTATATTTTTAAACAATATTTCGTTGTCCCTATAAATGAAAATTTGTCTTCTCCTCCCCAAGTTCTTTATTTATAAACTATGCTGGAATATTGTATTTCTCATAAAGGAAAGACTTTAATTATAGTAATTATCTTGGTTTAGTGTTTTCAAGTTGGGTAATGTTTAGCCCTTTGAGGGTGTCTGCAGAGTTTGACTATCAGGGCTCCTTGTCTCTCTTAAGACTTTTAACGGCATCTACATTCTGAGAAAAAAAACAGCTTTAAAGTCTATAAAAACCTGCAGATGACAAAGAGGAGCTGTTTTAGCTTTGATCACTGAAGAGACATAAACAGGAACTACTTTCTGAAAGAGGATTAAAGTATTTTAGAATCTCTGCAATTTCTGTCACTACTTTTTGTTCAGAATTAATTACTTCATTTCTTCTTTCACACACCATTACCAAAGAAATTTGGTCTCAACCTTTAAAGAGTTTTGATTGCTCACCTTCTTCCATCACCAGCCACGGAGTAAACCCTACAGCTTGAATGTTTTTACATGTGTCAATCCACTGAACTTTATATATTTCTTGGTATTTTTTGAAAAATTATTTGTAATAGTATTAATAGTAACAGCAATAATTAAAAAAAGTAACAAAATTATATCAATATTATTGTTGTTATTATTACTATGAAAGAGGTGTGAGAAAGTTCTGGATATCCAACTGTAAAATGAGGTCTATAGAATTGCAAATATTGATAGCAACTACTTAACACTAAGTAAATTTTTTTAACGTATTTGTGATGTGAACAACAACGTAACAATGGCAAATAGCAATGCAATATTTAATTATACATTTAATTAAAAGTTACATGATCGATAGTAGTTCACTGCAAAAAGCATAATATTACACTTTTATTATGTTCTGAGCATGATAAAAACCACTTCATACACACAACACACATGCCATTAATATTTATTTAAAAAAATAATTACACGCACCAGAGCCCTGGAGAGTTCCTGTGTAGCATAAAGTGCTCTACTAGTCATCTTCACTGGAAATCCACATAGATGTGAAAAAATACACTTCATGTCAGAAAGAAAAGAGTTCAACACACTTTCTGAATCTGTTCTAGGGAAATATTGCACTGGCTGACTTCGAATGCAACTTAAAGGGTACCTGAGTAAGTGTTCAGGGATACATAACAAGTATCTTTACATTTCTGTAATTGTTAATCATCTTTGTTGAGAAGAAAGCATCAATGAGTCTTAAGCTTTTTAAAAATAGTGAACAAACCCATTTACTTTATTAAAGGACTGAAGCTTATAAAGTTACAGGACTTGAACATGACTTTACTATACTAATCTGCCACAGTAAAGATTACTCAATATAAGTAATTTTTAGTGTAGTCTTTCCTAGGAGGAAAAGTCTCTTAAAAAAAAAAAAATCTTTGTTGGATGCATTTTTACAGGAATTTAACTCTTCCTTTTACATCATCATTTAGTCTGGCATTATCATGTTTACACAGGCTGTGAAGCAAACTAAACTATTTAACATACTATTATTTAACACTGGCACAAAAAGACTTGACTAAATTTTTTTTTCCAGTTTCTCTAGTGAAACAATGCTCCACTGATTTCTATGAAATTATGGAAGAAGAAAATGTGGCATAATAAAAAATTTAAAATCAGAACTTTGCTAGAAGTTTAGTAGAAGAAACGTAACAAAAATACCCTAAAAGGATACGTAAAGAACCTTTCCCCTATTGGCTTGAAGTAAACACTTAAGTATGTTTTTGTCTCTTCAAGATCCTCTGGAAGAATATATCCATACTGAAAAACAGTGACAACAGTGTTTTACAAATACAAATTCATTAGGTATAAAGAGGAAGGGAAAACCAAAAGCAGTGTACATTGTTCCTTACCAGATTCTTCCAGTGCATCTGAAAATCTTTATATGAATGGAAAGGAGATTCCGGAGGAATTATGTGGCTGATGTTTATGATTTGACCCATTTTCATGCTGTGCACAGGTAAAGAAGCAATGCTCAGAAAGGATTTGACAAAACTCAGCTGAATATATACTGGACTTTTGGAAAAAAGAAGTCAATGTTATGTTTGACATTGAGTGTATTTATGGATTATGTTTTGAGGACTAGTACTTTTAGCTTGTAAGTTTATGACAGAACAACAGACATATGGAAAAGAACTTGGCACTTACAAGTCTAATTTATCTTCTCTGTAACACCACCAGTGAATGTAGAACAAAAGCAAATACATAATTACTTCTCATATTTTTATGATGAAAACCATAGGTGAAAATAGGAAGTTTGTAACAAAGGTGGAAATAGGTTTTTTCTTTAAACTGACACTTTCTGCTAAAATTATGTTTGAGAAAAATTCATGCTCTTATATATCACAAAAGTAGCAGGGAGATTACCAAAACTGAAATTATATTTAAATCTGAAATTTATAAATCACTGATTAATTTTTCTTTCTCATTTTCCGTAACATTGAGACTATAAAAATAAAAAAGATTCCTGAATGTACCACAGACTGTAAAAAAGAAATGTTTTTATAACTAGTATCAAATTCCCACTTTGTATGACAAACATTCCAGGAAATGTTTGTTTCTGCTGAAACGTAAACAGACTCCTACCTTGGCAAAACATAGCACCAGTTACTTAATATGGAATGTTGGTGAATAACTGTATTTTCATTGCTGTCAAACATCTTTAAGGTGTTTGGTGAAATATCAAAATCCACCAGCTTCAAAAAGAAAAAAAAAAAAAGATTTGCAAATATTTCTATAGCAGTACAAAATGAACATTTTCAAAAATTGTGCATCACAGTACACTAAAGTTTGTGCATGATTACTTTTCATCAGATATCACAGATTGCTTATTTCAGAAGATATTCTGATTATCAAACTTCACACTACCTTATGTTAGAGCCTAGGCTTTCAGAAATTACGCAAGTGTAAGGTTTAAAGGTTATTTAAATCAGTGAAGTTTGAACTTCAGGTATTTTAATAAGTAAGAGTAAAGTAAGTAAAGAAGGAATTTCTCAAGCTAAGAACTGTCTCACTTTCATGCACATTTAAAAAAAAATCAAATCAGAAGTCCATGTTTGACAATCTAGTAATTGTGTATGTCACCTTGCCTAATCAAGTGGAGAGGTCCCAACAACAGAATTAATGGGATATATAGTTTCATCCTGTGCGAAGTTAAAAAACACCACACATTTTCACAATGTGAAAATATGTGACTGTGTGGGCCAATTAATTGCTGAGTTCGAGCAGAATTTTCTCTATATAGGGTTTTCATTTATTCACTGACAAATAAAATCTGGCCATTTCTATTTTAGAAAAGCATGAAAATTATCCAATGATAATGAAGCCACACCATTATTGCTTCCACCATTGCTTTCTGTCATTTTGGAAGTGGATTCCTAAAGACAGCTTTAGCGTTTATGCTACCTATGTAAGTTAAAGAAGAAATCCTGTTCTTCTATGGTAAAATAGAAGCATTAGGATCAGAAATACTTATTTGGAAGAAACAAGCAAGCCCAATAAATATGCCCCTGTATCAAAGAACATATTCAAACAAGGTGTCAGAAAGGATGGCAATTTTTAGACCTCTATCATGATTCCTCAACAATTTATTAATTATGCTTACAAGCAGCATACTCCAGTCTGCTCCAGTATTTTGGAAGCTGCAGAGAAAATTAAGCAGGTTCCAGAATAATTAAATACAGGGACTTTAAACATCGTGCTGACAACTTACCTGCAGCTTCACTTTTAAGCTGCTACTCAAAACTCTCTATGTAATACAGTGAAACTGAGTGCCTTCTAGAAAACACCACTAAAATGAAATCTAGAATCATAAAGACATTCCACTACTATATTCCATTAGCATTTTTAAAGGTCTCTTAGTCCAGAATCTCAGTTTTACGATGCTTGCTAGAATGTGTCAATATGGATACAATATGGACATTACACACTTAGAACAGATGCAGGTAGTCAAGAAATACGATTACTGTCTTAATATAATCAGAAATCAGCAATTCTATACCCATCATGCTAATCGCAAGTCACTTCACAGAAAAGAAGATGAAGATTAATAAGACAAACATAGTCACTATCTTATACCTCAGGGGGCGGCAACCGAACTGAGCAAGCCTCCACACTGATGCAAAGCTGTCTCTCTGATACATTGAGGTCTACAACTAAAATAAAAAACAAAGCACAAACCCCTCTTTTGAGCTACAGTTCATCTCTTAGGCAGAAAGCTAAAACAAAAGGCCACATCTCCTTAGCATGGAAATTAAAATTATTTGCATATTAACTGTGAAAAATTAAAATAAAACTGAATTACCATCCACACAGTATACCTGCACGGGAACTCATGGCTGTCCATAAAACTGGATGCTTGATGCAAATTATTATCCTGGATACACAAACAACCACTTTCAAAGCAAATGCAGTTACTACAATAATTGCCTGAGTCATCTAGTCCAGTTATGCATGCAGAAGTGGTGGATACAAAAGACTTCATGAGCAAGGCAAGCATTTATTAACATATCTGCAGAACATTCACCCAGCTCTGAGGCAGCTGCAGCACAGGGACTGAATAAATTATGTTCCTTGACATATGTCCCTGTTGCAAATTTAGGTGCCAATATCCACAAATGTAATTTTAACTTTTATACTGGAATAAAAATATTACTTTTAATTTTTGCAATAGCTACGCAGCATGCTTTGTGACAACTTTTGTGAACAGCAACATTGGTACACACTGGACAGTCACTTTAGCTCATTTTTCTATTATTTTGGAACTTTCATATCACTTGCTAGACTCATAATTTGAGACAAGTGTAATAATAAGAAAGCTAAAATTGTAAATTCCAATCTATGGCTGTAGATTAATAGCAGAGGTGCAGTTTAGTTGACAAAAATTACATACACAGCATCATCTGCCATCAAGTTTATTTTGATAAGAGGTTATTTCAGAATAAAAAACAAAAAGACATCATGTTGGTAATACCAAGATTAGGGCAGTAAGAAAGCACATAACTATACCTTGCTCTCCTGAGTTTACCATTAACAGAATATTGTACTTACCAACAGCATTTTGCCTTCCTGAACGAGACAAAAAATCTTTTCCTTAATAAATAAAATAGATAGGTATTATTTTCTAAATCATACACCTAATGTTATTATGCAAAGTTTATTAGGGGATAGCAAATTATAAGTTTTTTTCCTCCCAGTAAGAAATTTGCACATAGAACTATTTTTAATTGACTAAGACTAAATTTCTCAGGTTCAAAAGCAAATCTGTATAGTATTACTACATATTTTAGCATACATCATCTGTATTTCTCAGCTTTAGCAACATATATGATTAGTGCTAAATTAAATAGTTTTTTTTCCCTAAGTTGTCTTTTTTGCCCAAGACTGTAAATGGTGCGTGAACCCTCCTTGTTCTTGTCTCGACTCACGAGTTTCTAGTTGGCCTTTGTCCTCCCCATCCCACAGTGTGTGTGCATGGGGGGGAGTTGAGTGAGTGGCCACGTGGCTGGTTCGTTGTTGTCACGTTAGGCCCAAACCACAACACTTTGATAATTCCCATTTATCCTATATAGGAGTAGAGAGATGTCAGGCAAAGAAACTACCATCTAAAAAGACAGAGCTTGGCAGATGGAGATGGTCTGTCAGAAAAATACTTCTGTATTAGAAATGCATGCAAACTATATGGAGAAGTGTCACTGATGAAAGAATGACTCTGGAAAGGAGGCTTTTAGAAGATATTTACTGTCCAACAACATTTGGTTTGGAAATTATTCATCTGGTAGGTTGTGTTCAGTTGAAATAATTATTTGATCTATTACTAAGACGAAGAGAAAGATGAAAAAGTGAATGATATGTCCATTCAGACTGTTAACTGGAATAGTTGAACTTGGATAAAGGAACAATAAACATGCCATCAAAGAAAAAAATCATAGGATACATGAATTAAATAATTTCATATAATTAATGAAATAATGATAGAAGTTCAATTATGGAAAATAAAGGCAATAGTAAAGAACCGAAAACTAAATGTTTGATCCCTTATCCAGGTGAGTCAAATACCTTGCACCAAGAGATGACCAGCCTTGTTTCATCTGGGTGCAAGTCTGGCTGTGAGTGTGTAAGAGAGACAGGTTTGGAGAATGGCTGGACTAGCTGCTTGTGGTGTTTCCAGCTAATAACATAAGCAAGAAAAGAAAAAATAAATAAATTCTTAATAATTTTACATTTTCTTAAAGGCTTCAGTTAAAATTTAATCTCAGATCCTGCTACTGCATCTTGGACCCAAATCCTAGCATATATTACACATATTTACTTCTCATCTACTTAGTTACAAGAGGAAATCAGCACAACATCTGATGTAGACAGAGAGATTTAATGCACCATCAAAGAAAAGTGCACTGCAAGCAATTTAATGTTTTCACTTGGCTGATAATAGACTCAGAGAAAAGATTAATTGAACTATTTAGAGTACTTTACTAGATATATATGGTCTCTTCCCAGACAATAGGCACAATATCAAAAAATTACATATATTAACTCTGCTGTCAAACTCAAGACCTGAGACATTGTTCTGCAATCACAAGAACAACAGATATAAGTAGCTTTGTTCACCCAGCACTATTATTTGCTTGACTGCTTGCCTGTCCTTGCCTGTCCTTGCTTTGTCCTTGCCTGTCCAGAAAGCCTGCCTAGCTTTCTGTTGACAGCATCAGTCAAGAAAAATAAACTAATTACAATGGGTTAAAAAGAGTTAACTAATCCACCTCTGGGAAGATTTTTCTAATAAGATTCTGCAAGGATCTGCCTGCAGCTCATGGCTATTAAATATACTTCATACTAATCTTCTGGTGTTGAAAAATCTAACCATGACACATCAGTTATGCATGTCAACACAAGCAGTTTGTTAAGGTAAGCATATCTGAACACAGATATGCCTTACTAATCCAGATACACTTCCACTTCTTGGAACAAAGAAAAACACACCCAACTGACTCTGCAAGTGAATTGTGAGAAATACTGACTTTGATTACAATCACGTTTTGACTCAGCAGTTTTAGTGTGCCCACACAGAGATTCATAAACCCACAGACATTGCATACTGGAAGACAGTAAAGAATATGAATTAATGATCTAAAAATGTTTTTTAATGTTTGTTAAGGTCATGGGTTCCATTTCTTCTCTATGTTTTTGTTTTGTTTCTCTGAGACTGTCCTATACAGGCTGGATAAACCCAAAACATGAATGAGGAGACAGTTCAGCTGTCTGAACACCCACCTCCACCTGTGGAACCTACAGGGCACAGGCAGAGCAGGTGACACTTGCAGGGGAGCTGCAGGTCTTTGGCCCAAAGGGCAGGTCTGTTGTTGCCTCAAGGTCAAACCCTGACACCCCTGTACAGGATCAGGATCCCACTACAGCAGAGAAATCTAGTGAAAATGCTGAGGAACTTCTTAAACTTTTGACTCTGACAAAATGTATTTACTATATTGAGATTTGTAAGACACATTTTGTCTATGGGACAGATGTTTTTACCCTGAAACTTGGCTTCTGTAGTGCAAATTGCATGGTCTGTGAAAAACACTCATCTCTGGCAACAGCAATTGCAGACAAGCATAACAATCTTAGGATCTGTGGCATCTTTCAGCACTTACAGTAGCTCCTTGTTTCTCTACATAGGCTTGACATATTCCTGATTTGTAAAATGGCACCTAAAATTAAAAAAAAATGCAAGTGTCTGAAATTAAGGGGTGTTCTAGCAAATCATAAATCAAATTCTGGACCATCAGTGACTTTGCCTAAGAAAAACATACTAAGGAGTAGTTAAAGTAAACACCATATCCTGTATGTTAAAGGAGAACAGTAACTAAAATTAGTTCAGGCATTCATCATAGTGTAATCTCATTTCCAGCTAAAGATCATTAACAAGAAAGCAAAAGACTTCCCAACACAAAATTGCAGCACTCTGCTCCTGCTGTTCTCCTTGTGAACTGGGTGGCATCTTACCAACTGGGTCCATTCTCCTCAACAAAAATTTCACCATCAGAAAAGGCCATGATGGTGTCTTGAAAAATACTTCAAAAGTTGGTTTTGAAATCCAAAAGGACAAGATAACTGAAGTACAGAACAAGATATCTGAGCTAAAATGAAGACATCTGTCTTGTCTATACTATTGACTAGCAGCCAATCGTAAAGACCCTAAAAATATTAAAATTAGAATGTGTCCAGTTTGAGGTCTCCCTGAGCAGGGGCTGGACAGCACATCAGGTGTCTCTTCCCTGGAGCAGGAACACCTCTCAAGATTAGAGATTCCCTACCTGAGTCTAAGAGATCCTTCCTCACCCAAGGCAGACAGATCCCTTACCCATGACACATCCTCACTGGTAGCATGCTTAATTAATGCTATGAAGCATTACTAATCCATGTAGCTACTCAGATATTATAAATATAGAACAAATACTTCCACTGGACATGAATCATTGACTAATTCTGAGACTAAGATTTGATCCAGTATCACTTAGTCAACAAAAGGAGAAAGCAAGGGGGGTTGTGGGGAACAGTCCATCTTCTCTCCCCCCACATAAGACTAAACAAAATGCCTTTCAAGCCAGCAAAGCAAGAGTGGTGCCTTTTTACTGATTCAGCCAAGGACGGAAAGGAACAAGCCTCTTGCTCTACCAGGTAAGTCCACAGCAAGAAAACAGCATAAGGGTTATGATAACTGGCAGAAAAATAGACAATAGGTTAAAAACTGCCTCTGACAAGAGTATGTACCTGGCCAGTGCTAATTGGCTAATTTGGACAGTGGTACTTTCTCGAACAGTGATATCTGATCTACAAAAGAGGGCAAGATCTGCAGGCCGCTGCTCTCTCTTTGCCTGCCCGGGACAAGACCCTGTTGCAGTACCTGAAACTTCCTGGAACGCCAGCCCCGCTGTCCGGAGGAGCCGAGATGGAAGGGGGGGCTGCCCCGCGCCCGGTGCCCGGAGAAGGGGAAATAGAGGGGGGGGCCTGTGCCCGCTCCGCGGGGATCGTGCCCGCGCCCGGGGACCCTGCCTGCCCTACCTAAACCAAACTGGAGCGGAGCAGGAGCCTGCCCAGCCTGCGTTTGCCACATGCTTCGGGACCAGAGCCGTGTCTGCCGCAGCTGCTGGT